ATGATAACATGGGGGATATTTTATAAGTGGTACTACAAGTCCGATCTAGTAGTGAGACCCTGCACACCCTCTAGACCCTTCCCTAAAAAAAAAAAAAAAAAAAAAAGAATTTAGGCAATTAGGAAGTGGTATCCAAGGCCTAATTGTGTATGCATAAAAGTGCTCAGTGAAAAAGGAACTTCTACACAAGAGGCGCAGAAGGGAGGCGCTAGCATGGAAGAACAGAAAATACAGGGACTGTGTGACAGACTCAGGCTCCAACTAGCTCTGCTCCCTGTCAACAGTGTGGCGCCCACCGAATCGTGGGAGCTTCAGTGTTTTTCATCAGCGAAAACGACCTAGTAATATCCACGTTCAAAAAGGTTGCTGGAATTGTTCACGGTAAAGTGCAGTGACAATGAATTGTATCTGCCCAAGTGCTGGATGCACAAAGAAGTGGAGCTTTGGGGAGCGGAAAAGTGTACCAGAAGCGACAGCTACGCTGTAGTGGAGTCAGCAAGTTGGGTTTTGAAAGTTTCGAGTTCGCGGCACGCTTTCAGATGGAAGCCTGGGGAACCAGCCAGCCAAGAATTAAGTCCTCGGGACGGAAGGGGACACATCCCAGGGAGACGGGCGGGACCTACGGCTGGGTTCTCTACAGGGTGGGGCCGGGCGGCGGGGCCGCCTACCTCCGGGGCCACGCCGCTGCCCTCGCCGTAGTTCTCCGAGATGAGCTGGTCGAAGAGCAGGTGGATCTCAGTGCGGGCGGAGCTGCTGTCCTCCGAGCGCAGGGCGCGGAGCCTGGCGGACAAGCGGTAGAAGCCACTGGCGGGCTCGGGGGGCGGCTCCCGCGGCGCCTCCCTCGGCTGGCTGCAGGGGGGCAGCGAGCCGGCAACCTGCACCGCCGCCATCTTTCCTCCCTGAGGCCACAGGGAACTACTTCCGGGGCATTCCCGGCCTCGGCGCTCTAGTTCCGGAGCTGCCTCCCTTGGACCAGAACCGGAAGCAAAGGATTGCCCTGGCTAGCAATCCTGAGCCCAGTGTACTGCGAAGGACCAGGGAAACGTTTAGCGTCTGTCTCTCTGAGCTGTGACTGAAAAGTGAGGTAGAGGGTTCCTGGGCAGGGCTGATATGACTGTTCAGTGTCAGGTTTGGGCTAGAGTCGGAGAGGGGCTGCTGTGGATGACAAAATCAATTATCTGACATCTCTTCTTACCTCCTGGTAGAGCCCCTGATTGTTCTCCAGGTACAAAAAGACCCTGAATCAAGGCTCCGTTACCTCTTATTCCTTGCCTTTGGCTTTGCCATTACTATCTGGCTAATGGATGTAGGCAACTTTCCAATATTTTCAGGGCAAGCTTTCAGTCCTCTTAGTTCCCCTCTTTTCCTTTTTTCCAGTGTGAATGCTGAGAGTCATGGAGCACCTCTTACCACTAGAAAAGTAGTTTTGGAGTTCAAACTGAACCCTGTAAATTATAACATATATTAAGAGTGAGTAGATTGGGCTGGGTAGAGAGTTCAGTAGAATAAGTGCTTGCCTGGCAAGTGCAAGGGCCTGAGTTCAATCCCCGGTTCCGGAAAAAAAAAAAAAAAGAGAGAGAGAGAGAGAGCGCAGATTGACATTTGACACTGCAGAGTTTTCTGAAACTTTTGTCAAGAAGCTGGAAAATAAAATAGTTATTATAACGCTGTGACCAGTTACTCAAGAAGGCTATAAATTGACATTACGGCAGACTAAGGAAACCGTTTCTGCAGATATGTGTTCTTCAGATATTCAGAAAATCTCCACTTGTAGTTTGTAAGGAAACCTTGAGGTTATTTGAATATGTGTTTTATCCTGAAAATAAGTACCCTACTTAAGAGTGAAAATTGGGTTATGTTCTAGGAAAGCTAGTTCTGTGAAGACTTTGGACCTCTTTGTGGAGAAGTTTTTGTTGTTCTTTGCGTTTAATTCCATTACATTTGTATATATGATTGTTGGGATATGCGTTACTTATGTGCATGTATGTGGGGGTATTTGATATTCATGTATTTGCTCAAAGAAGATTAAAAGGTGAAAGCTTGTCAGTGTATGTTTTAGAGTTCTCAGAAAGTAGAGCTTCAGGTTGATACGTTTATTCAGGAGTGAACAGGGAATGAGAGAGTAATTTGTGCACAATAGTAATTTGTGCTCTTGAGATGGCCATTGCTAGGGGTGACTGTTCATTCTTAGGTGGTTTCTGGGAAATCTTATGGAATGCTCTCAGAACTCCCTCTTGAGGAACGAAAAGGGAAAGTATATCTGTCAGCTTTTGACCTCTATTGTCAGTGGTTTTCTCAGCAGGGATCAATTCTTTGGTTCAGTATGCAATATTGTACAGGAGTTCCTCTAGGAGTTTCCTGATGCAGATGTTCAACACACTAGCCTAGAAGAATGTGGGACCTGGAAGAATGGAGGAAGTGTGAAAAGGCTGTGGGAAGAATCTGGTTTTAATGTGGTTCATTGTAGGTTGCAATATAGATGAGGCACTTGCAATGTTATTAAGAAACTCAGTGACCCAGGTATTGTCAAGTTTATACACTGATGCCAGTCTGTTGACTTTGGAAAAGATATCTCTGTGTGGATGACACTGTGCTTCCTTTGAGGAAATGAATATTCCTATTCTGTGGTGATCACCAACAGAAGGAAAAATATATCAATTTTCCATTGAGAGGAGCCTTTGAAGTTCCCTTGCATTGTCTTAAATTAGACAGTAGTACCTCCCACACTCACTTTCCACCTTGAGACTGTGAAAACTTTAAGGATGGCAAAGATTGTTTTCCAATAAAATCTCCTCACACACCCTCAAGCCTCAATGCTCCTTACTTTCAACATTTTAGTTGTCTGATAGTGACTAAGAGGCCTTATGGATTGCTGAGCAAGTTTACAACCATTCTCTTTAAATTCTGCATCAGATGGCCTGTGACCTTATTAGGAAATTCACTTCTTTTTTTTTTTTTTTGTAACCTTACCAATACCTAATTTTTATCTTTATTAGAGTCTAGAGCATCCTAACAAAACTAGGATTAGGTACCCCCACTGTATTTCATGTTCTTGTTTACTTTTTCAGAACATTTACCATAACCTGCAGTTGTCTTAGTCGTTTGTTACTTGTATCTTACCTGTTTCCTCCTCTAGATTGTGAATTTTAAGAAGACATAAATCCTACCTGGTTCACTTTCTTGTGTCCAGTACTAGTGAGCACCTGGAGTATGGTAGGGAAACCACAATACTTGTTGATGGCATGGATTTGCAGATTTATTATTAGGGTCTTGTATTTTCCATTTATTAGATGATATGAAATCAAATGATATTTTTGTGAAAATGCTTTATAAACTGTAAAGTTTTATAAATCTTTAGTATCAAATGAGGTAGATATTTTTTCCTCTTTACACTGTTGGTAGCAATGCTATATAGTATAAATAGTTTTGTCACAAGCCACATAAGCAGTGAATTGGTTACAATCAGACTTCAGCCCCGGCTGGCTGAGTACTAAGTCTGTGATGATGAAGAACATGGACAAGCAACTGTAAAACTCTTTATTTTTAACCCTTCTATATTTTGTTATGGGAAGAAGCAGAAAAGAGGGGCTGGCTTTCAGTATTCCTATTAAACCTTGAATTAGGAGAAAGCAGAAAGGAGGATTGACTCGGGGTTCTATTTTAGAATTGTCCAAATTGAGACTAAGACTCATTGGCCCATCTATTTGGCAACAGCAATAAATAACATAATACAAAAGCCCATCCCATACTTTTCTAAATAAATTTGTAATTTAGAATTTTAGTAGTCAGCTGTGTGTCTCAGTAGCTGCAGCTGGGACACAGGAAGTAATATTTGTTTACCTACTTGGAAAGAGGACCACAAGGTGTGTGTACCTGTGCAAAAGTGTCAAACTGGGATTTTTACCCACATAATACTTCACATAACAGTTTTTGTGTATGTTTACCTGAACATCACAGGGGGTAAAATACACCCACACCATTCTTCTGTTATGGAAACATGTGCCTACATAATGGAATGTGGATGTGGCTCACAGTAGTTGGCATGGGACAGCAGGAATCCATTTGTGTATTTACCACTTGGCAAGTAAATGTTTATTTATTTTTATTTATTACATTTATTTATCGTGTGTGTGTGTGGCCAGCTCAGCCCACCAGGGGGCAGGGCTGGCTGGCATGTGGTGCTGGGGATCGAACCCCGGTCCCTGTGCTTTGCCAAGCTTGTTTCAAGTAGGTGCTTTAGACCACTGAGCCATCTCTCCAGCCCTTGGCAAGTAAATGGAAAGGTGTGTACAAGAACTCCCAGGCAGCAGTGGGTGTACATTTAAGATTTGAGTTATTTTATTTTATTTATTTATTCATTTTTTGGTGGTAGAAGTAGCCCAGTTCAGTACAATGGTACATGAAAAACCAAATGTATAAGTTTTGGGGAAGGTCAAAGTGAGTTTTAGGTCACTTGTGCATAGAAGGTAACATTGGCCCTTTGAGCCAAAGTTCCTGTGGCAGTGAAATGGAGCTCATAGGACTTTATTTTTGTTATTATGTTTTAAACTTTGTACACCAAAATACAGTCTTGAAAATTTTGATGCTTTTTAATAAACAGTAAATGTTAGAAATTCAGTACTTTATTTTTAGATGTTTTTTCCTGTTAAGTATTTTTTAATATAATAAAACTTATAAAATCAAAATTAATAATTAATCAGTAGAAATAGTTTAAAGAATAAATGTGGGTATTATACACCCACAACAATATGACTTTAACACAAAATTGGTTTATGCCCCATAGATATAATTGTTAACATTTATTGAATGCTGCTATTCCTTGGTATCCATGAGGGAGTGTTTGCAGGGCTCCTGAAGGTCTCAAAGTCTGAGGCTGCAGGTACCTTACATAAAATGGGCCAGTATTTGCATGTAACCTATACATGTCTCCCCTTTAAATCATCTTGAGAGAACTTAAAATGTCCATTATAATGTATGAATAATTTTTTT